AATCGAATAGGAAACTGATTTTGCGGTAAATCACCACATTATCATCCATAAAAAAAAACCTGTTGACGACGACGGTGGCTGTTGCAGAGATCGGAGAGGGGTTGCCCTGCGACGCAGACGGCGCATGCGCGGAGCATGCCGAGTGCCGCGAAGGAGGCATCTGCACCTGCCTCGATGGATACCACCCGCTCCAATTCCAATGCAGTAATGCCAACCTTTTCCATTTTCTCGTTCCCCTTTCCAGGTAATTTAAAGTAAAAGCGGGATGACCATTTCTTTCTCGCGATTCTATCAGTCCTTCGTCCATTTTTTGTATTGGGAAAGCGGGACAGTACCCGCACTGCATTGCAAGAGCGCCTCAAGTTGCTTTTCTGCTCAATGAAAGTTGCCAGTAATCTCCTTTTCAGTTAAAGTAATTCTCGCCACACACATTTCACGGCAGGAAATAATATTTTATGAAGTGACATTCCCACTGCGGAACGAAATTCGTACTCGTAGTTTCGTGAATGCATTGAATTCCTAGAGGGATTGCGTTGTCTCTGCCTAGACTGGTTTGTACGGAACGACCTAAATGCCAATGGAGTAATATTGTAATAGTAATCTGGCTAAGTATTTCTGAGGAACATGAAAATAAAGTACGTATGCGTGGGGTAGCGTGTCTCCTCAGCACCCTAGACCAAGAAAGAAAATGTAAAAAGGTGTGCAGGTGCTTCTTGAATCCCAACGAATTCCGGGGACCTGAAAAAATAAAATTGAAGGGAAGTCACAGGGAAGCCATTGCATAGAAAGAGACTGATATGAAATTTGTATGGGAAATGGATCCGATCATCACGGAACGGATACTTCAGATGTCTCTAAAGAAGTCATCCAGCATGAGACAAACGTGCCTACCTGAAATAATGGGATGTTCTCGGCGGGCTCATCGCGTTGACTGGGGAACGAGTGGAAATTGTTGACTATTGCAGAGGCGGGAGCGGGATTGCCATGCAAGGAGGATGGAGAATGCGTGGAGCACGCCGATTGCCGGGAAGGAGGCATCTGCGCTTGCATTCTCGGATACCACCCCGTTCACTTCCAATGCAGTAATGACATCTATTCAATACTTTCCTCATTTTTGTTCTTCAGGAGGAAGGGAGAGGAGCTGAAAGTTATTCGTGAAGGAAGTCGTGAACCTCATCCGCAGTTGGGAATTCCCCTGCTTACAAAGGCTAATTTTGAACATGCTCTCTCAACAAAAGTCGAAGTACTGGTTACTAGTGTCCGTGCCTCTCGGGTTCCCTTATTCTCGAAAAAATTGTGAAAATATTAAAAGTAGTTATTGGGCTCGTAAATGTAGAAAATGTCCAGATTGTGTCTAACTGCTAGGGGTAAGAAATTGGGGCAATTCCAGAAGCCTATTTTATAATAGACCGAAGTGTGTCGAGAAAACTGAAATGATTGATTTTTTCGTCCGAGATCATGAAAAGCCATCGACGAGCACCGGGCATCAGTGAGAACCAAATTGCATCGGACGCGTATAATGATGGCGGCGAAATGCCTGCTGCAGAGGCCGGAGCGGGACTGCCGTGCACCGGAGAGGGCGAATGCGCTGAGCACGCCGAGTGCAACGTAGGAGGAGGGAACTGCACTTGCGTCGACGGGTACCGCCCCGTTGAATCCCTGTGCAGTAAGGGCTTCCAGTCCACTTTTTCTCTCTTTTTTTTTCTCTCATCGTCGCATTTCAGGCGAAGAAGTTGACTGATCCATCAGAATCCTAATATATCGGTTTCCTGTGTCTCTGTCATTTGCATAATTTCCAAGAAAGGTATTGGAATGCCGTGCTGCAACCTATGAAGGCGCACGAGCTGAAAGCCAATACTTCAGATTTTCAGGATTTCCGCTTTGAAGAAAGAAATATGAAAGTCATAATGCATT